TCAAAATGCAAAATTCTTTGGGAGTACAATCAGTAAAATACCAAATATAAAGGGTGGAAAATAGTAGAGCGAATGGGACTCTTAATAAGAAAAGGATTTCTATCCTTCCAGAAATTCTTCGCAAACATTCAAGATAACTTAAATCGCTTTTGCAGGTCATGATATCGATCATAACTCACAGATAAGGGTACAACCCGATTCCAAATTTATATAACCATTGTATGATTTAAGCTATTATTGGGGCCCTCATTTGGCATTTTTGTTTCTAAGGGTGTAGAGAATCTCTTCGCATAAAATTTGAAATTCTTGGAGTAGGGCCCATATGTCTTGACAACATTCATCAATTGATTTGGCTAAAAAATTGTAAATATGCTACCTTAGGGTAGGGAACCATCATACAGATAATTGCCCCATAAGAATTTATTTAGGTAAATTCCCCATTGGAGTATCCCCAAGTCCACTTTCACATCTAATGTGTGATAAGAAAAGAAAATTTTTTATTCTATTGAATTTATAACCCCCAAGAGAATATCGGTTGGGAACGTAGATTTGCGATACACATCTATATGAAATAAATTGTGAAAACATAAACAAATTACAAATATAAGAAAGTAGCACGTGACCGAATATTCGTTGAATCGTCTTTGAATTATACTATGATGAAAAATATGGACTTTATGGGGTCTCAAACTTACAATTTAAATGGCAAATAAAATTATTTCCCATCATACGGTAATGGGTGTAAAATATTGGATTTTAAGGGGTAGAAGAAAGTTTTCAATGTAGTTCGATGTTTTGGGAGTAGTGCCCATAGAAAGGTACCTCCTAATTTTACTATATTTCAAAGGTCTATATGACAAACAGAACAACATGGTTAGGGGGACTTATGAGGACTCTAATGCACAATCTGAGGTGCTAATGGGTTTAAGTAATTAACTTTGGCTATTCTTTAATCATTCAGCCCTCAATTATGAGGTGTACAAAATACAGTAAATTCCAAATTACTTCTCATTTGACTGGAAAATTTTGCTACGATTTTTACCATAGTAAAAATTAATTTGATCCCTTACATGGGGATAAGATTGATATATACTTTTAGATATATTTGTATAGCACATCCACACATTTGAAGCCCACGGCTTAAATATGGGTACAGGTATTTTAAAACACTTTTAATCGCATATAATGGTACCTTCCTATTTTCGGTATTTTGATGATTTTATCGACATTATTCACCGGAAACGTTTCAGATTTGGTATTTGAAGTTCGTAATGGAGCCTATTACATAAAATTGTCTACGTTGTCCACGTTTGGGTATATCCCCCATATAATGGTTCCACCCTATATTCGGTATTTTGATTATTTTTGCCACATTTTTCCATAGAATTGTTCCAAATTTGATATTAAGAGTTAGTAATGGGTTCTAGTGCTAGTGGCAGAACATTAGCTGTATATGTCCACGTTTAACTGTAGCCTACGTATAACGATACATCCCGATATTTTCGGCATGTTGATAGTTTTAGCCATATTTTTACACGGATTTGTCTAATAATTGGCATTTGAAGTTCGTAATGGATTGTAGCTACGGTGGAAGAACAATATTTATGTAGGTCCACGTTTAACTATGTCGCCATTATATCGGTACCTTTTGACACTCGGTATTTTGACAATTTAAGTCCCATTTTGTAACGTATTTGTGTTAAATTTGGTATTATAGTTTATAAGTGGTTCTGCAACCGATTCTGCAAAACATTGTCCATTTTGTTCCACTGTTTCCATATAAGGGTACTCTCCGATATTCGGTATTTTTATGATCTTAGTCACAGATTTTAGTTTTTAAATAATATATTCCTTTACAACCATCTTGGCGATGACAAGGTAAACAATAACTACGAAAAATATAATGCCAGTATAGACAACTATGAGATGTGGCAGTTGTAGGTAGTAGGCAACAGACGGCTTTGCTAAAGATAAATAAACGCACAAGATAATCCCTCACGATATAGGTTTCTTATATTTCATGCACGATATTGTGAAATATGAATTCTGAGCAAATATCTGAGTGTTTGTATGAATTCCAACTATTAATTTTGGTTGTAGCAATTCCAAAGATATGTGTTGTGTCGAAAGACCATTTGTGAAAACGGACAACCAAATCAGTACATATTCTCTAATTGAATGACACCACGAAAAATGGATTAAACAAAACATGAATTTAACATTTTATTAATATGTGAAATAAAAAGAATGTGTAAATGAAAGGTATTGACTTTCCTCTAAATTTCAAAATAAATTCAGAAAAAAACAACAATAGCACAATAATAAGTATTTGTGGTTCGATTTTTTTTATGTACGTACGCATGTGGCAACAATCCGCCTGTGGATTGACTAGATAACTACTCTTAATGGAAGTGAACCCAAGGGATACCAATTTCTCGTGCGAAGACCTGGAGATCGGGGATGTTACGGTAAATGTGGACACGTCCATGTTTAGCACGACTCTGACGCTGATTGAAAGGATTCGGAATGTGAGGAGAGTGGTTCGGGCCCGATTTTCCTTCCCTACCAGGGATAGTAATGGTGACTCATTGAGATTGTGTTGGGTAGTCGCATCCCTGGCATTGGCACACACGATAACCGTTTGTCTCTCTAAACTTACTTCCCAGTGAGGGGCAGCTGTAATAAGGCGTATCGTGGAAGTTTGTGAACGATCACCCACTAGTTGTGGCAAACAGGAGCTTGGATGAAGTGAAAGAGAAGAATACCAATTTCGTGTACCAGAAACAACATTTGGTAAATTGTAAACACCAAGTCAGTAGAGTGATCCAAAATCCAAAACGCTGAATTGTGAAGTGAAAACACTGAACCGATTGGAATCAACAACTTTACCTTAAGGAGTTGTTCGTTAAGAAGTAAGTGAGTTGGTACGAGCCACCAGATCAATCATACACTCAACGAACCTGTAGAAGAGCTTAGGCAAGCGAGCATTCAAATGGCGCTGGAGTGAATATTTGAGTTGGAAAAAGCCACTCAAAATCAAATTGGATAAGACCGTGTGAAGCCGTTTACTGTCGATATATCGTTTGCTTGACGAAGAGATGCCCCGATCATCCAATCCGTTCTAAATCTCGGTCCAGATAGGGATACTAGCGGGAAGTTACTTTTAGCGTCAAAAATATTCGCCGTTAAAAAGAAATGTTTGTATTTTTCACAGTTTTGATCTCAGTTTTGAATATGAACAATATTCTGACCCAATTTCGTGAGGATCGAATAATAACTGCTACCCGTTGAGTGATTTCTAAGCTAACATGGACACACTGGAGATTTTTTTTTAAATTCCATTGAATGAAAGCAAAAAATGTCGGAAATAGCATCAAATTTTAAATTTAAATTTGTTCGAATTGGTCACCTTTGGCACGAATTATGGCCTACAAACCGTCACACGCTGCCCGAATGTTGATCTGCGGTATTTTGGCCCATTCCTGGCGAAGCGCTTGCTTGAGGTTATCGACACTTTGTTATTTTTCAGTGCCAACATTGCTTTCCAAAATACTCCAGACACAACAGGGGCGCGTGCTGAGAGCGATGATGCTGAGTCCTTTTGGAATGTCCAAAATGTCCAAGGTCTGCGGCAAAAATATTTGCGTGTCCAAGGATTTAATACCCCCTCCAGAATATTTTCGCGATAATATTCGGCATTTATTCTGATGCCACGGTTGATTAAAACGAGCGGAGAGCGACCATCGGCTGTTACGGCGGCACACAACATCACCATGACCGGCGCTTGAGTTCTTGTGGTCAACCGAAGGTGCACATTTTCAGCTGACTTCTTTGGCAAGTAAACACGATAATTTAGTTTGTTTACAAACTGCCGGACAACGAATGTTTTCTCATCGGAGAAAACCAAATTCGGCAGTTCACCACTTTTGGCCAAGCGAAGCAACTCTTTATCTCTTTTGAGTCTATTTTCTTTCTGTTGCGATGTAAGTTCTTGCCCTTTTTGGAATTTCAATGGCTTTACTCCGAGCTCATTTTTCAATATTTGCCAATCAGATTTGCTATCAGATTTGTAATTATTCCTTTGTAGATTAGGTACAAGAAGGAATGTACCGATATGTCCAAGAAAGTTCGAAGAAACGGCTATAACCATGTTACAACAAAATATATTCCGATTTTGAGTGTGTATTTGTTGTTTTGAAAAACAAAATATATTAAAATCAATGATTGAATGAAACGCACAGTGCGCATTAAAAATATTAACAAATTTTCTTCAAAGAAATTAGAAAATATAAAACTTAACAACTTATTGAATGATGGAGAGAATGCTGGTATACCCTCATGGCTTTATTTCTGTAGTTTTATGAATATGTACCAGAAATAATCGTACTCAATATTGTATTAAGTTTGGACGCCATCGGATACACACTGCGAGAGTTATCGTGCGTGCCAGACAGACGAACGGACGAACACCGGTAGATCGCTTCAAAACGTCCTGAAACGTATTTCGCCATAATTAGCCTGTTAGTGAGGCATTTGCCGGTCAGTGAGGAAAACATTTGAGTTTGGAAGTTGCCGATTTTTGGCGGTAAGGGCAAAATGGTATGGAATTCCGCTATAGAAAAGACCAGCAAACATATCTTCAAAATCGCGAATTCAATGGACAATATTAAATATAAAAATCCGATTCCATTACATAGAAACTGACACAATACCAGATCATCATAATAGGGTAATTAAAATAAATATGTTATGGGTCATTGTCACAAAATTTCGATTCAAACAGATTTGGGCGCCGCAAGCAGGGTCGTAACAATACTTTTACTTAATGTCCGAAATGCTTACTTGCCTAACATTTCTTCTATATTTTACATGGAAAAGTTTTTGTTTTTGCCATTACCAAATGGTTCGATTTTAAGTACGCCCTTTCCCGCAAGGACATGTGGCTATATATTTCTTTGGACCACTTTTCGACCCAACCTGAAACAAATGTAAACAAAAGGTCATGGAAAATGATTATGATGCTTTATTTACTAATTTTTAATGATTCGTTTTTTCATAATCGCATTAATTAATTAATTGTACACTTAGTGAAAATAGAAAATAGAATTCTTGAAGGAATAGTTAGGTTTCGCCTCTTCTCGCGAACACAATGCAATGAAAAATGAAAACTAAATAATAATATTAAAAATATGTTTTTTTTTTTTTTTAAATTTTGTAGTTGTTGTTTAAATAGATTGGTACTAATTGGCGGCTATTGTGCAGACACAGCAACTGGGGAACCAAAAACTATCCGTATACAGATTTTGCCCATTTCCTTGCAGGGCAATCAGGCGTTTTTGTACAAATTTCTGCTCGCATCTGGAATTATAACCGTTTGGCAATTGGCAAAGATTGGTGCAGGTGTTGGAACTGAAAGAAAGAAAAATGGAAAATAACATCAATAATTATATGGTGAATTGTTATAAAGGTTTTTATGACAGGAGTCCTTTAGTCAGATTGGTCGACAGATATTTACACTCATACAGTCAGCATAGCTTTCTGGAAATCATATCTTTGATTTACTCAAAGAATGGCATAGCTGAAATGTGCGTGTTTTGAGTTAGTAATTTTCATTTTCTCCACTTTATATTTCTATCAAAATATGCTGTTGATATTTGTAGAACTCAAACAGTTACATCTTTTTCTTTCAAACCGATGAACTGTGCTAAATGGTTCGATCGGTTTCTAGCTTTGTATTGGAAAATACATTGATAAAATCGTATTGATCAAATTCGTTTCTTCCCTTATACCCTTATATTTTTTCAATTTTTTTATTTAATTAATTAGTTTTAATGACAAATTCTTTTTTATATATTTTCAAACAAGTGAAACTATTAATAAAATTATATTTTTTCCAATAAAAGTGTGCACTGTGCTTTACTCATGAATTTGGCAAATGCAATGGCGTTTATATCACAGGACATGTGTGAAATATACATATGCTTGCCTTTTTCACTTTAAAGGTAAAAAACAGCGAAATTTGGATGGCCTGAACTTTTAATATCCTCCACAATTTGGAGCGAATTTGAAAATTTTCAAAAAAAAAAAAAAAAGTTGTCGAAGAATACCGCTTAAATGAAATCCGTTATATGGGGGCTATACAAAGACGTGGAATAATTCGGATGAACTATGTTGCTAAAATCATCAAAACACCGAATATAGGGAGGTAAGTGAGGTGAAAAAAATGCAACCAACTTCAGACTGCACAGTGGTCGCTGCCATTGGCCAAAATTCAAAAAATGAAAATCAGATATTCATTGTCAAATGTGTACACCTGAACTCTTAAGAGGTTAAGCTTTTTAGAAAACATAATTATCTTGACTTCATTCTAACGGCCCACTTCGAGAATAGCATCAAAAAAGAGAAAATGTAGGTATTTGCTTTTTTCAGTGGGATCAGTGAAAAATTGGAGTAAAAATAGAACTGTATTACAAAATTAAATACATTTTAAAACGACAAATCTTGGCATTATTATTGAAAAGCAAGGTATTGACTTATTTTTAGTGCAGTAATTTGTGTGTTTAGTAGTTGTGTAAAAAATATAGAAGATGTGAGTGATCTGAGTTGCCTTTAAGATTAATTTTGAAAATAAAATTGGATTTCAGGTAAAGTTTTAATTGTTTTCCCCCCTGAATCCTCCAATGTGATTCTTTTCACGCCATTAGTAATGGCCCTAAGATTTTAAAAGTGCTAATTTAACTTTCAGATTTTGTCAGATTTGTATGTTATGCCCAATATACTGAAGTGACTTCGCTGCAATTTTGTCAGTTCTATGGTGCTAGTGACATAGAATATGTTTTTGTTGTTTGGGATTGATAAGGATGTAATTGAGGGGTGTTCAATAATGTTGCGAGCATTGTCTTCTGATTAATGCTGAAAAATTTAAGGCCATTGCACTGGAAACTGCTAAAAAGTTAACAAATAGATATCCATGGCACTATCTTCCACCCACAGTTCATAAAACTTTAATACATGCACCCGACTTTAGAAATTTGTCATTGTATAGATTAGATAATTATAGGAGGAGGCCGTGGAGTCTAGAAACAAAGATTTAAAAAAAGTTTCGACTAAATCATACCCGAAAAAAGTCTCGTGTTTCAACAAACACAGATCTTATTAACCGTCTTCTTCTGAGCTCTGACCCCTCCATAACGGGACAGCGAACGTTACCAAACAATAACCAGCAAAGAAATTCTTAAAGTTGGGCGGAGCCGACTTCATGTTACCCTACACCACTTTGCATATTTAGTAGAGCCTTACATAACAAATAAAGTTTTTAATGGGGAATTTGTAAGAATTAAATCATATGATTATAGTAATAATAAAAAGTCCAAAGGAACTAATATATGGGAGGAATATCCTCCTCTGAATCGATTTCTACTAAATTTGTCGAGACGTTTGCGCCTTTTCAATTCGGGCTTGTATTATCCATTTGGTGCAGAATTATCTTGAAATCGGATAGATATATATGAGAGCCATATCTAAATCTGAACCGAACTCGATAAAATTTGACAAAGGTATTTCTGAGCTGTATTTGATATATTGCCCCGAATATCGTTACTACGGAGTCCACATTACGGCTATGCAGAGCAAATTCAACAAATCGGATGAACAATATGTATGGGAGCTATAGCTTTATCTGAATCGATTTCCACCAAATTTGACATACTGGTTTCCAGACTCAATTTGGCCGTACGTACCAAATTCCATTCCATTTGGGCTAATATTACACGTTTGGTGCACAATAAAAAGCAAATCGGACGAAGATATATATGGGAGCCATATCCAAATATTAACCGATCTCGATAAAATTTGGCAAGGGTATTTCTGAGTTATATTTGATATATTTCCCCAAATATGGTTGTTACAGAGTTCTGGTCGCACGTATATTCCATACTATTTGGACTGATACAAGTGTGGTGCACAATATAAGGCAAATTGGATGAAAATATATATGGGAGCTATACCTAAATTTTGACCGATTATCTACAATTTCAATCGGGCCTTGGGTCAAACAAATTATTTGTGCAAAATTTAACTTTGATTTAATTGTATGTTGAATTGTTATTTTATTTTGTTTACAAAAATCAAATTTGGAATTGATTTATATAAAAAATTACTTCTATTTTTAGAGGTATCTCTACAGGGGGACCCGCAGGTAAAGGCGGACCGTTCCAAATAATTTTCAGTAAGATTATTTTTTAACTCCTTAGAACGTAAAATATCAAATCACATTACAATCTGGTGTAGAAATGTGACAAGAATTGGGCAAATAACCCTTATTCGGGAGGTACGTTGTAAGGGGACCATGCCAAAACATGCATCGACCATATCCATTTTGTCACATTTTTTATTTTTATCCCATCAAGGTACCATAACCAAAGATTCATATTGATATGTGCACTGAAAGTATTTTTGGCCGCTGTTCCCATACGACCTCGACCACTGTGGACTGCTTTCATTCTGAGCCACTCGTCCGACAGCTATTAACAATATTCCAGTGACAGCTCATTATATTGTTTACAAGCGTACAAAAGCATTTTGGAGAGAATTTTCCAGAACAAAAGATATTCGTGATGGAATTCAAGCGTGATAGTGTGATTTCTTTATATTTAGCTGGAAACCCACAAGTGGCTATCGTAAGAGCACTCCAGCATTAAATGTAAATAAATCTTTTGTGTTTTGTACCATCGCTCGTTACCGTGATATTGGTAGCGTAGCCCGACGTCAAGGAAGTGAACGGATGAAAACAGCAACATCAGTAGAAATGGTTCGAAAGGTAAAGAAGCGACTTGATCCAAAACCGTCGCAGTGGCCGAAAAATGGCTTGTGAGCTGAACATATCGGAATATTCCATTCGGCAAAAATTGAAAAATGAGCTCGGGGTAAAGTCATTGAAATTCCAAGCAGTGCAAGAACTTACACCGCAACAGAAAGAAAATAGACTCAAAAGAGCTAAACGTGGTGAACTGCTGAATTTGGTTTTCTCCGATGAGAAAATATTCGTTGTCCAGCAGTTTGTAAACAAACAAAATGATCGTGTTTTCTTGCCAAAGAGGTCAGCTGAGCAACATATGGCGTTTGACTTTGTTGCAGTTTTTGTACCCTCCACCATACTATGGAGATTATATTAATTTTGTCATTCCGTTTGTAACTCCTCGAAATACTCATGTCAGACCCAACAAAGTAAATATATTCTTGATCAGCGTAAAACTTTAAGACGATTTAGCCATGTCTGTCTGTCTGTCTGTTGTAATCACGATATCTTTCGAACAAGTTGAGATAGAAGGCTAAAATTTTGCACACATGTATATTTTGCCAGTAGGCAGGTTAAGTTCGTAAATGGGCCATGTAGGTCCAAGTTATCATATAGCCCCCATATAACGGTACCTCCCGATATTCGGTATTTTGATGATTTTAGCTACATTATTTAACGGAATCGTTCTGATAGATACTGCAGCATAAAACAGAAAATGGGCCATGTAGGTCCACGTCTTCGTATATCCCCCATATACCGTACCCTCCGATATTCGATATTTTGATGATTTTAGCGACATATTTTACCGGGATTGTTTCAAATTTCGCATGTGAAGTTCGAAATGAATACTTTAGCCCATGTCAGAAATGGGACATGCATTCGGTATTTTGAGAGAATTTTTAACGGATTTTATTTTTTGTGGAAATTGCCAAATTTGCTCCAAATGGTGGAGGGTATTAAAAGTTCGACCCGGCCGAACTTACAGCTTTTTTACTTGTTTTCTCTCACCCTGTATGGAGCTGTACGAAGACGTGGATCTGCGTACGCAATTTTTTTTTGCCATATGCTGTAGTACCCATTACGAACATTAAATACGAAATTTAAAACAAAATCTCTAAAATCATAAAAACACCTTGTATTGGGAGACACCGTTATATGGGGTCTATACAGGGACGTGGGTCTGCTTGTGTACTTTTTTGTTATAGGCTGTAGTATCCATTAAGATCTTCGGTAAATAATGTCGCTAAAATCACCGAAATACCGAATTTTGGGAATAAACCGACCGACATGCCCATTGTCCCTTCTCGTAAATGGGTAAAGTTCGTAAATATATATAAATATATATATATATATATATATATATATATATATATATATATATATATATATATATATATATATATATATATATATATATATATATATATATATATATATATATATATATATATATATATATATATATATAATGGTGGATGATCGGGTTGGCCGACAGATGTATACCCTCAGCTTATGTACCTTCAGTAAAATATATTTTGACATGCGTTATGATTATTCAAAATGTTTACCCTTATTAGGGGAGGTGCCAATAATTAATAATATAGTATATATATATATATAGATGTTTTTAGAAAATGCAGAACTTTTATTGCGCAGTTACCTCAATGAGTGTACCGACAAATCACATATTTACATCAGGTCTATTATTGATAGAAATATTGAAATACACGAAGTGTGAAGAAAAACGCTAACAGAAGGACTGATTTCATGTATCAAATTTGGACTAAATCTGATGCTTTCTAAGCCTACCATTTTCGAATAATCATTAGATAAAATATAGCATGTGAAATGTACCCCAACTTTCGTGTGAAAAAAATCAAAATTTCCATTCAACCGCGAAAATTTTTAATACTGCATAGTAAGACTTATGACCTTTATATTAATGCTGACTCCCCTGAGTCAGATATCGGAAACGCTGACTACGACGGTGGATTTTTTTAAGTAATCCAATAATTTATAAAAATATCTTGAGAAATTCTTTCATTACAGTCAATGAAGGGTAACGAGTGCTCGGCCCGCCCAACTGTGGCCTTTGCTTACGTATTATATATACATGTTATTTCAAAATTGTTAGAAAGTAGTAAAAATAGCAAAAGAGTATGGGAACGGAGAAGTAACAACACTGGCTAAAAACATCAAAATCATATCAACAATAATGAAGCTACCAAAAAGCTGATATTAATAAAATAACAAAAAATAAGTAAATAAATAAAGGCTTTCAAAAAGCACGATCGTTGTTCCGCAGGAGCTTCGCTGTTCCGTATTGTAGTCAAACATTGGTAGTAGAGTAACCGTAGCTAAACTAGTTACCTCGCTCCTGTGTACGACCCGATTAAGAAAACCCTATCAGGAACCCTGCCGATCCTGAACGAGGCCTGATACATCCACGAAGACCTAAACATCGGTTGCCGAACCTACCCTCAATGAGCTGCCGAACCCGAACGAGTTCCGATCCATCTACAAAGTCTAACACATCGGTTGCCGAATCCACCCTCAACGAGCTGCCAAACCCGAACGAATCTCAGTCCCCATACGAAGACCTGGACAGCTGCTCCCGAGTATCTCACCTGTGAATTGCTAGCTTTTATACCACAGGTCACCAATCTGCCTCCTAAGCCTGTACGTCCACATCTACTTGCAAACCCCGATCGTCTACCACGAGATCCCGATTACCTTCAAATCGTCAACAACCGAATGCCGACGTGACTGAGAACAATTATCGTGACTTCTGATTTGATTCAACCGTCGACCATAAGTTCCCGATTACCTTCAAACAACCCCATCACACGAACATAAACATCGTAATTCCTGATAACAGTTCCAGATCACCTTCAAATCGTTAACGCCAACGTCATCCGAACGCAACGTCGAATTCCCGATCAACAATTCCGCAACAAAAATTTGAATTAAAGATCAATAAAACATCCTTTTTTTACCCCCAGGAAAGGGAGAAATCTACTCTTATTATTTCATAAGGTTTAGTCCTTATGGAGACCCTTGGAGTTACCGACAATAATTAGTAAGTTTGAAAATACTTTTAAGTAGGTTAACTACTTTGATTTCGTTGCTAACATACCGACATATTTCGTTAATTACCGAAATCATGAGCATATTAATTTTACCTCATTTTGTCGGTAACTTAAAAAATGAGTTAGAAAATTCCATTACTGATTTCAAATATCATTTTTGTGGAGAGCATATTATGAATGTGAGGGATGAAACATATACATGGGAGATATAACTATATCTGAACCGATTTTCACCAAATTTTAAATACTTGTTTCTGGGCTAAATTCGATCGGATGTGCCAAAATCAATGTTATTTGAACGAATATTACACATATGGTGCAAAATCGACAGACATACTTCAAGACTGTACTAGGCCGTGTGTGCTAAAACTCATTTGATTGACTGATATTACTTATTTGCTGCACAATTCTTATGAAATCGGACTACACTATATATGGGAACTATATCCAAAACTGATTCGATTATCACCAATTTTAATAAGGTTTGTCCTTGGACCAAACCAATGATTTGTGGGAAATTTCTAAATCAAACAATAAATCCGGTTTGCACTTTGTTTACAAAACTACATTGACAGACAGACGGACATGCATAAATAGACTCATAATGCGTTTCTATGAAGATCATCAAAAGAACCTATGGTTCATTTCGTTTCGTTCTGCACTTTACAAATAATAGTGTGGCGTGGGGTATAAAAAGTAATAAATCAGAAATCTCGATCAAAACGAAAATAGGGTCCGAATTGATAGGAACTTTCGACATAATAATTTTTATTTTGATGATAATGACAGATAGAATATACGGACAATTTTTTCAGTTCCTTCCTCCTCTGGTTTAAACCGTTAAATCGTAATCTCATATAAATTCCTAAATAAGCAAGACACATTTCAAATTGGGAATCTTGCTTCGGGGCTTATTAAGCTAAAATTTTTTGAAAAGCAAACGGTCCAAACTCTTGCTCATTACCGTTGGACATAAAAAGATTGCGTAGATCAATTAGTATTATGTATATAGATACTTACGCGCATAATTCCGCTTTCACCATTTGTCTAGCTGTACTGGCTTCATTCACCACAAACATCCAGTTACCTGACAAATATCAAAAAGATCACCAGATAAGATTCAGGAAAACAAAAACTTATAACTAACAGCTCTACCTTTACTGTTCAATGCTGCTTGAGGCGTTATAAATTGAGATGTGGTTGGGCAAAGTGACATGCGTCCAGGACTTTGACGACGGACGCGCGATTTGCTGCCTCTGTCAACACCCACAATATCCAAGAGATCCATATTGAGTGATACATCACGGCTCGATACGTGATGTTTCGAAGCATCTTCCCCATCGATGGTATCGATAATTAGAGGACTTTCCGTTTTCTGTGCCGTGGCCTTCTTGCTGATGTCACGTACTATCCGTTTCAGCCACAGCGTGGGATTGTTAGGTGTGGTCTTTGTATTACTGCTGCTGCTACTACTGCTGCTGCTGGCAAATGAAGACATTTGATTTTTGTTGAAATTTAGTCGTTGACCTGCCGAGGTGTATAGCAAATATCTGTAAAGAAGCCAAGAAGCCGGACAGTCAGTCATTGAAGTGTTGAAACAAGAATTGTTATCTCTAAACGAAATCACTCACGTGGGACCTTCAGTCGTTGAGGATTTGGTATACTGATAGGGATCGTCATTGTAGTGGTTTGAGGAACCGCTGCCACTGCCACTGCCATAAGGTGGCGTATCATAGCTATAGCCACTGAAGTCTTTTCCGTTGTTGTGCTGCGGAAATATGTAAGCCGGGTCATAAAACACAGGTGTTTCATGCCATGCCACCGCGGCAAAATCGTCCCATGTTTCGTCGACTAGTAGATTCTTTGCTTCGTATCCCCATTTTTGAACAAGGTGTTTGATGACATATCTGAAAGAGAGAGAGAAGAAGAGAATTACAATTTTCTCGCACTATTGTTAATCGGCTGCCGATTAGAAAATGACTTATGACAAGGCAAACTAGTGGTCACGCCTTCATTCACTCGTTGATAAGCGCCCAGCCAGCGCACGGCCGTATAATTTGATTGTCATAAAAAATACAAAAAATTAAACAAAAATCCCTACAAAACAAACAACTTCCCCAGAGAAATCTCTAAGCTAATTGACATTTAACAATACTCTTCGGCTGCCCGGTTATGCTGCATAATCGTCCGGCCGATGTGCGCTACGATCATTCAAGTCACGTGCCACATGATGATGAGCTCAAGAAAGTGTGCTTACTGCTGCTTACAGTCTGTCTCTCTTCTCTCCTCTCTCCGTCTCACCGCATTGAATTAGCCTAGCCGGCTGTTAAATTGTTTCATTAAAATCAACTTGTTTAGCTACAAATAAACATATTTATTATTGCCTGCATAAATATGTATGGATTTGTATGCATGGCGTGTCGGACTCTAATATGTATGCATGTTTGTTGGATGGCATGGAGAATATGTATTCCAAATTCATTTCAGCCGACAGACGAGTTATCTCCAACGAGATATAAAATCGTCTTAAGGTATTTGGGTAAAGTATGTAGGTATCCATCCATTAACTTATTTTTAATTTGGAATACGATTGTTTCTATGCCTTCAAAAAATGAAAAAAGTTGTATAGGTAAGTCTAAGAAATGTAGATTTTTACGGTTAAATATCATCTTAATCAGTGAAACGTGTTTAATTTAATTAAAGTACAAACATTTTAATAACTTCGAGATAGAGGTGGTATTACCGAATCTGCTTGTGGAAATATTTCTTTGAGCCCCTTTTTGAGTATGAGTTAATAACTTCAGAACATTTTGAAGTACGTGGCTAACGCTAGTTTCTTCATTCTAGCCTCGAAGACAGAATCAACCCAACCCGTTCTATGACAAAGCCAGAAACAAATCAAATACATCACATAAGCAAATGCTGTGTGGTGTTGTCGCAAATATGTCAAAATGGAAAATATGTGCATTTTAATAATCGTCGGTTTGCCGGTATCCCATATTTTTCGGATATCTGCTTTCATTTTCGAGCTTTCCAATTAATAAATAAATAAAGGGTTGCCTATATTCGACGGACCCATCTGGCAACGCCATAACTTTTGACAGAGATGTTACATCGCTTAATGACATACCGCGTTTGAAGCGTCAGTCCAAGCAGATTTTTACGATGAACAAATACAAGCCACGCGAGCGCTCCGAAATAGTTGAAATTTACATTCAACAGAAGAAGTCAATTGTGAAAACTCAACGTGCTTTTAAAACATTAAAAAATGTGAGAAATGCGCCTTCTAAGGGACCGTAAATAAGCAAAATTGCAGTTTTTACGCCACTGAAAATCCTCAGGAGATTCAAGAAGTGCCTCTTCATGACGAAAAAGTCACAGTTTGGTGCAGCGTTAGTGCGGCCATTGGGCCGTTTTTCTTCCAAAATGAAAATGGCCATGCTGTTACCATCAATCAGGAGCGTTATCGCGACATGATGACCAATTTTGTGATGCCAATTATTCGTCGAAAGCATATGAGGCAGTTCTGGTTTCAACAAGACGGCGCTCCACAGCACACAAGTCGCATAACAAAACATGGGTCCGTCGAATATGGGCAACCCTGTAGCTTTATTGACAAGTAAAACAACAGCTTATTTCGGCTTTAACGATTTTTGATACGCCCCACCATCTGAAAGAAATTGCATAATGTAAAAACATCTAACTGAAAAATTCCGAATATCAGGCTATACGTAAACGTAAACCTCTACAGGGTGAGATGAAGAAACTGCAACCAACTTCAACTTCAGAAACCACAAGTGGCTATCGTGTGGTGGACGTGGTGACAGAAAGACTGTAATTTTCAGAACATATTTTCTCACTAATCCAAAATTTCCCCTGAACAAAAACTTAATACACTTTAGCTTGCTATAAAACATATGATAAATTATCATTTGAAATGTTGTATTCCATTGCAGCAAAGTAATTGTAGGTTATATGCAGGTACCACTGTTGCCTTCCAAAACACATTTTATGATGCCCGGCTCACTGCAATCAAAACAAAAAAACAAACCCCACTGATTAAGAGTACACACTTTTTATCTCTTATTTTTTTTACTCACTTATGTTTTTTTGTAGCGATCTCACATTTTTTAGAAATAAAATCATGAATGAAATGTTTGTAACTCTTCATTACATTTTTTGTTTTTGTTACATTTCTCTTCGTTGACATTTCATTCATTCATAACTTTTCTGTCTTTCGCACACCTTACTATATTCACCACTGTTGTGGAGAGTTGGGTGAGGGTTACTAAAAACATAAGGCCCATCTAACATGTAATTACATTTATTCTCTAAAATAACACTCAAATCAAAATTTAAATATCATTTTCGAGTACTGCTATATTTATTTAGTCAATCTGATATATATTTTGTAAATCCAAAAATCTATTTAAATTCGCAAAAATTACGAACAACAACACCCTGTGTTTTCTATATATAAAATCTGATGTTCTCTTTCACATTCATATTCTTTGCGACTAACTTCAGCTTGAAGCAGTCTTAACCAAATTAATTCTTCCTTTTTATTAAAAACTGCTGAAAGAACCAGAACAAATCCTCCGAAATAAAACTTTTAAAAATCGGAAACATCAAAATATTAAATAAAGTACTTGTTGATTAAATAGTCTACTCTTATAATTACCAACACACTACTAGATATCTCGAAGGTAACTATAAAACTTGCAGTGTGAAATGAAATTTATAGTGAAGTGATTTTAGGAAAATTAGGTTCTGGGCAATTGAAGTACACACTAAACCCTTGTAATAGTGCAAAACCTTTACCTCAAAATTCACCTTGAAGAATAACTACGAAAGGACCTGTTAGCACCACAAGACGTCATCCGACTTCTAAGGAATATTTGGTATTTTCATCTATTTGCCACTCCCAGGACTTTTTATCCACATTACCGCAGAGTACAATCTACAACTCGGGACACTCTACCCACAGAGTAGTAGTGACTCCCAGAAAAACAGAACTTGCAGTCCATAATTCAGAGAGGGCAAAATTAAAATACCAACTGATGTCAACATAACACACTAGTAGATATTCCAACTTCCCGTAAGGTCCGCATTAACCTCTCCCCTTGATCTGGTGTGGCAATAGAATACAATTTTGTACGTGGAGGAATGAATAATTTTGACGGTACTTCAGCAACAGCAAGTAGGGTCTTTCAAGGCAAAATTCAATAAAATCTAAAAATACGCCCAATAGTATAATCATTAGGATGATCATAACCAATTTGATATACACTGGGGTTTTACCTCTTAAAAATTACATTTTTCTGAAATCATATATATATTCATTATACGATATGTTAAATTATGGCGATTTAACCAATTTTTATTAAATTAATTATTGTTAACATTTTTATTATATTATTAATTAATATTTTTAATTATTATGAATTAATATTTTTAATAATTATGTATTAATATTATTAATTCAATCACCCTGTATATCATTTTGCACTCAGTATAAAATCTAGTTAATTATCTATTTTTCTTATTGCACATAGAATAACTTAAATCAGTATCGCATGAGATAAATTTATCACGACCTTAAGAGATTTATTATTCTATCTTCATATAAGCATCAAGAGTATCCAGCTTCCAGGAGAAGGCCTTCATCCATAAGGAGAGCGTGGTGAGTTTGCATTTCTCTGTTAAATATGAATATGAGAGCATTACACCTCTGCTTTTAAAATAGTATTTTTATTGTTTTGCTTTGATATCTCTATTTTATATTTTTTAACACTAACATTGATGTATTGCTCTCAAAACGATGTCACAAAATAATGTTTCTCTTATTGTGGTGAGATTAATTACTATCAGTTTAATTTATTAACCCTTTTATTGGTTTATTGAAAATTTCCGTGTCAATAGTTCTATATCTTATTGAGATTTATACATATATAGACACATTGTTAAATGAATTATTTTATTTTTCATTTTATTATGTTATGAATAAATCATTGTTAAATTCAGAATGAACTGCTAAACTAATAATAGACGTTTCCTTACCTTAACAATTTAGATTTGAAATAGTGGAAGAAGGGGTCCATGAAACATTAGCCATTATGGACAAAGGTAGGCGTGGGTTTCGAGGTTACTTCTCAAAACATCAGAGAAGATACATCATTTAAAGCCTACGATCAAAACAACATTCCACTTTTTAATTTATGATTCTATTTAATTCTTTGTTTTTGCATACTCGGTACATATTTCAATTTTAATGTTTTTTTTTATTTATCTGGGAGTCTATAATAATACCTGTAGACGAACTCGCATTGACTAAAAGCGGACAATAACGACTGCAGCTACCAATAACGACTGCAGCTACCCAATTAAAAGGCTCCCGTAGTCCTTCTCTTAGTCAAAGGTTAAACAAATGCTAACAAGCATTTTTATATGTTCCTGTACATTACAGTATTTGGCGCCCAACAACGTGGGACCAGGGGAATTCTATCGCTATCCTGGCTCTCTTCCGATTACTACTAGATTTCATTATATCGAAGGTTTTTTATTTGTTTTATTTTGGGGGTATATGAAGTTTGAATAGTTAACAGAATCTATCTGGATTTTCAACAATTTGAAGTTAACTTCGATTTAGTTGACCGAAGAATATCTGTCAACCTTTTCCGCTTTTTATGGCTCTTATATAAGACATATAACTCACTTTCCGTAGTTTTGTGTACCTCCGGAAATTTGTGTATTTTGTGGCTAAGAAATCAGCATCCATTTATCTGACGGATTATCATTTTCTTTGCTATATGCAATTTAATGACCTCTGATGAATAGGTTAGATTTCCATGGGTTACTTGAAGCAAAGCTGGTGTGTCTGATATGCACAGTTTTAGGAGATATATAA